CATCCATCCATCCATCCATCCATCCATCCATCCATCCATCCATCCATTTATTCTGGACTCAGGTCTTGGGGGCAGCATCTTGAGCAGGGAGGCCCAGACATCTCTCTCCACAGCCTCTTCCAGCTCCTCTGGGAGGACTCCAAGGTGTTCCCAGACCAACCGAGAAACATAGTCTCTCCAGAGTGTCCTGGGTCTTCCCCAGAGTCTCCTCCCAGTCAGACATGGCCGAAGCACCTCTCTAGGGAGGCGCCCAGAGAGCATCCTTACCAGATGCCTGAACCACCTCAACTGGCTCCTCTCGACGTGGAGGAGCAGAGGTTCTACTCTGAGTCTCTCCTGATAACTGAACTTCTCACCCTGTCTCTAAGGAGAGTCCAGCTACCCTGCAGAGGAAACTCATTTCAACCTCCTGTATCCACGATCTCATTCTTTTAGTCTCTACCCAGAGTTCCTGACCAGAGGTGAGGGGAGGAACATAGACTGACCTGTAAACAGAGAGCTTTGTCTTACAGCTCAGCTCTCTCTTCACCACAACGGACCGGTACAGAGTTTGCAATACTGCAGATGCTGCACCAATCCTTCTGTCAATCTCACGCTCCATTCTCCCCTCACTCATGAACAAAACCCAGAGATACTTGAACTCCTCCACTTGAGGCAGAAACTCACCCTTGAGGACCATGGCCTCAGATTTCGAGGTGCTGATTCTCATCCCAGCTGCTTCACACTCGGCTGCGAACCGCTCCAGTGAGAGCTGAAGATCATGGCATGATGACGCCAACAAGACCAGATCATCTGCAAAGAGCAGAGATGGAATCCTGAGGCCACCGAACCGGACTCCCTCCACCAGCTGGCTGCACCGAGAAGTTCTGTCCATAAAAGTTATGAACAGAATCTGTGACATCTGTTACTTTCATTCTGAGTTATTGCTGTTGCAAACTTTAATTTAACTTTTTCTGGATGTAAATCAATTTTTTTTTTTTTTTTTGGGGATGATTGTTTTCTCTGGTATCAGATGCTGTGCTGCTGGAAGGATTTTTACAGAAACATTTTTACTTTTGGACATTTGTTATGATGTGTAACCATGGCAACAACTTTTTTTTTGTTTGTCTTTTTTACATCAAGAGCAGCTGATTAACATCGCAAAAGCTAAAATAATATCTCAACTACAGCTCCAAATCTCAAATGAGTTGAAAAGGAGGCACTGTGGATGTATTCCCGTCTACATGCTGGCGGTGTTCAAAGTGCCAGACCACTGAGATCCTGGAGCTGGCAGAAAACGTGGCTCGTGACAGTGGAGGGACTGGGACTGTCCCCCGACAGCTGCAGCCAGGAGTGACCATCCCTCGTGAAGGAGATCTGCCTGGCATTTGGGCGGTCCTGCAGCCCGTGGGATCTGAGAGGCCAACCAAGTCCAGGTGGACAGATCGGACACCATCTGCGGCCAGTTTCTTCAGATCTGCTGTGGGACGAACCTTTACAAGAGATCCTTCCTGTCTACAGCATCAGCATCTATAACATCTCTTAATGAAACAAGGATTATGAGTTATAACAATATTTAATTTCCCTTTGGGATTAATAAAGTATTTTTGAATTGAATTGAATGAATTGAACTAAACGCTAACAGGCATGGTAAACATCGTCCAGCGGTCTTGGAACAGTAATAGGTATGGTAAACTGTGTCCAACAACATTGAACAGGTGATACTGCAAGCCCATTCGTTCTCGCATTCTGATTCAAGTAACTACAGGATTGGACTCTTATTTTGACTCAGTTATATTCTTCATGTCAGACTAGTACAGTCCTGCAGAAGCTGGCCCCACTTCCCTGATCAGTCATGCTCCATTTACACTGACCATCTAAACCCAGGAAGTTCTTACTTAACAAACCAGTCTGTTTATTCCTCCTGCACGTTTGTGGCACCTTGACTGTGCAGTTTAAAGAGTTTATTAAGATTGATTTGTTTCTAAATTTGCTTTAATTTATAGTGTGTTATCACTGATTTAATAATGTGTTTGGTTTGCTTTAAGACGCTAGACATACCGGTAGATAAAATCTTTGAGGAACAGAAAAGGGAAAATGCCTACTGGTAATTACCAGTCCCAGCAGATCTAACTGGGTAAGGCAAACACACGCCATAATATCTGGCTGAGAAAACGAAAGCTTTGCCAGATGTTGTGGAACGCCTGGAGTGAATCCAAAAAAGGCTTTCATGGGGTGATGGTTAAATATAACATCCTAATTCTTCCGCTGCCAGCATCTCTGCATCTTCTGAGTCTCTGTGTCATTTCTTTTGTTTTTAAGCATCACATGGGAAGAGGAGATAAGCTGCAGCTACTCTCACACTTTATAAGCTACACTCAACATCTGCATGTGGTTTATCACAGCAGCTACAATTTGGGTCCATTTGCATCAATTTAAAGTCACGATGAGTCAGGTTACTGCACTTGTTTTGTCTCATGACACGATTGCAAAGTTTTCTTCTCAGCCTGACTTCACATATCTGTTTGAGACTGAACCACAGACGTTATTAGATATATGGGTCTGGTAACTGCAAACAAGTCTCAAGTCTTATTAGGTTGGCATAATGATGTAGATGTCTGTTTTCTTTGGTGATAGACTGCTTGTTGTCAATGTTAAATGCACCAGAGTAAAAGTCAATGCCACAGTGTTCCAGTGTGGACCCAGATGGAGCTTGTCTGGAGCCAAGATGGCTGCCATCACTTGAAAATGTGTTTTATTATGAAGACAGAATGTATTTATGTATATGTACAATGTTGTGTTTGACATACAGTATATCTGATCATTCTTTGGAAGTGAAGTAATAGTATCAGTTTTAGTAACTAACCTTAATCATCTCAGAAACTGTCCAACCATCTTCAACAGTTACAAGATGCCATGTACCAAGACTGTTTTCTTCCATTTCAGGTCAGCAGAACCCCAACAGCCTTCGATACAAGTACAACTTCATTGCTGATGTGGTGGAGAAAATCGCTCCTGCTGTTGTTCATATTGAACTGTTCCGCAAGTAAGAACGTCAGATTAAAGATGACATCACCCACAGTTGTGGTGGTGGTCAGATATTGACCTGAAAACCAATTCATCTGCTGATTTGTTCCAGTTGTCATGGCAGTTTGTTGAGCACTAATTTTCTTTCACAGTTAATTGACCTTAAACAATGGTCTCAAGTGATCTGTCTGAGCTCGGACTTAGAGTTGAGGATTACTCTCAGCTACCACCGCACTAAGTTTTAGCTAAGATTCTATGAAAACAGACTGGAGTGGATGGAGAAAAGTTTCAGCAGAGATTTAAGACAAAAGGGTGTCAGCAAAGATCAAAGGAAAAGTTCACAAGACAGTGGTGAGACCAGCTATGTTGGTCTGGAGACAGAGACATGGACAAAAAGACAGGAGACAGAACTGTAAGAGGCAGAAATGAAGATGTTGAGGTTCTTCTTAGGAGAGACAAGGATGGAGAAGATCAGGAATGAGATCATCAGGTTTGGTTTGGACATGTCCAGAGGAGAGACAGTGGTTTGGACACGTCCAGAGGAGGGACAGTGGTTTGGACATGTCCAGAGGAGGGGCAGTGGTTTGGACATGTCCAGAGGAGAGACAGTGGTTTGGACACGTCCAGAGGAGGGACAGTGGTTTGGACATGTCCAGAGGAGGGGCAGTGGTTTGGACATGTCCAGAAGAGGGACAGTGGTTTGGACATGTCCAGAGGAGGGACAGTGGTTTGGACATGTCCAGAGGAGGGACAGTGGGTATATTGGTAGAAGGATGTTAGAAATGCAGCTTCCAGGAAAAAGACAAAGGAGATATATGGATGCAGTTAGAGAGGACATGGAGGTAGTTGGAGTGAGGACAGAGGACGCAGAGGACAGAGTGAGATGGAGCAGGATGGCTCGCTGTGAAGACCCCTGAAAAAGGAAAAGCTGAAAGAAGAAAGATCTGTAAAACCGACTGGGTTTTTAAAGGTTGATAAGGAGGATATCACATATCCCATGACTTTGGGTGATATAAAAGACAGACTGATAAAGTAAGTTGACCGTGTCAGTCAAAGCTGCTACTGTAAATCCTCTTCTGCAGCGCTCACAGGGATGGAGCACAGTAGCTACTGGAATGAGTCTTTAAGTTATATTTGTCTAACCTTCTAACCTCACCATTCAAGTTCTGCTGTTAAAACAGCCGCCTTCATTGAAAGTCAACCTGACGCTGTTCTTCAGGGTCTTGTCTTGGGTTTTAGATCTCTTCCTGTTTCTGTTCAGGATGGTATTTTCTAAGCGGGAGATGGCCGTCGCCAGCGGCTCTGGGTTTGTTGTGTCTGAGGACGGACTGATCGTCACCAATGCCCACGTGGTGGCCAATAAACACAGAGTGAAGGTACAAAAAGCACCAGAAACACACTCATACCCACTGGATGTTTTAAAGACACTATTATTATTTACCAAGAAGAAATGTACTGAAGCCTAAATGTCACAGTTGTATGTTTTTCATTGGATTGTTAGTGCTAATAAATACTTTCTAGTGTCCTTTAAGAATTGTCTAGCTTAATAAGGCAATGCCATATCCATCCTGTCACAGTGGAGGTGTTGATAAAATATGGTATGTTGTTGCCTTGGATACAAGTTGCACCTTTGACTAGTGTAATCTCATGTACCATCAGTTTGAAAGGTTTTTTACTGTAGTTAGGTAATTTTGCAGAATTTTGCATTTGTTTGTGGTTCTGTCATTATGACAGTTAGAGGTGAAGACATTTTTTTTTCTTGCAGGTGGAGCTGAAGAGCGGCGCCACATATGACGCCAAGATCAAGGATATTGACGAGAAGGCAGACATTGCTCTCATCAAAATTGATGTACCGGTGAGCATATGTCCGGTTCAAGAAAAAAACAGAGTGGGACAGTTATTAATGTTTATTTTGGTCAATTTTCTTTACCTTTTATTATTATTTTTATTATTACATTGTCTTCCAAAAATGCTGAAGCAGCAACAAACGTGATTAGCTGCAACGTGACTGAAAACCTGTAAAAACATCAAGAGCTTAAATTGGTCATACACACTCAGGTGTCACTTTGACAAATATGTTTAGGTTTATCAGATTATTTCAAAAACAGCTTGGTCTGCTGTTAAAACCAACACATCATAAAGTATTTGTTTTTAGTTACAGTTGGAGCTTAAGAGTCATTTTCAAAGTAAAGTTATTACTAGACGTAAAGTGGGTTTAAACTGAAAACTGTTGAGCTCCAAGCTTTGAAACTGCAGTTTTTGTTGGCCTGGTCCACATGCAAGACGTGTTGGTCGCATGGTGATAATAGAGTGAAGCAACATATCTAGGGACTTGGCATATGCACTAAGCTCTGCCCCCTTTTGGGGAGAATACAATGCCCCGCCTTCTTTTGGATAGAAACCTCCCTTGTCTTTGACTGGTAGGTAAAGGAACTCCTGAAGCGTTTGTTAAGAAAACAACTTCAAATAAAACTACAGCACAACGGATCAGTGGTTAGCACTGTTGTCTCACAGCAACAAGGTCCTGGGTTCAAATCCCGGTTGGACCTGGGGTCTTTCTTTGTGGAGTTTGCATGTTCTTCTCGTGCTGTGTGTGTTTTCTCCAGGTACTCTGGTTTCCTCCAACAGACCAGCTGCCTTCAGGTCCAGGCCTCCCTTGCAAAAGAGATCTGTGATCTCAGTGGGATTTGCCTGGTTAAATAAAGGTTAAATGAAGGTTAATAAATGAATACAGCAAATGGTCAAATATGGTCTTTCAGCCAAATATTTCTTTACCATCACTGCTACTCATTCATTCAACCTTTATTTAGACAGGTTAATCCCATTGAGCCTTGATGACTCATTTACAAGAGAGACCTGATTTTAACAAAGAATGATGACAACAATGGACAATCATAAAAGAGGCATACATTTTTTTTTTTTTTTACAAATTAAAATAAGATGCAAAAAAAGTAACACAAACAGCTGGATTCTAAGGCGAATGTAGAAAACTGAAAACAGGAACATGTCTGCATCGGTCCCTGCCAGGAGTCCAACAGATTCTTAAAGACACTTAGAGAGGTCAAAGGTCGAGAGCTTCAGATCTTTTTACAAGATGTTCCAGGAAACAGGAGCGGAGTAGGAGAAGGTCCTTTTGTCTAGTTCAGTCCTCACTGAGGGAACACTGCAGGTAATGATGTCCTGAGAGCGCACGCTGTAGCTGCACTCACACAGAGACATGTAGGAGGAGATGTATGAAGGCAGCAGACCAGGAAGTGATTTAAAGATGAAGATGTACCAGTGGGAGAGTCTGTGTGAAGTTAATGGTGACCAGTTAACCAGTGAATACTGGGTGCAGTGGTGGGTACGGTAGTTACAGCCAGTTATGAATCTTAGTGCACCATGATAGACAGCATCCAACATCTGCAGCATCCAACATCTGCAGGGTTCTTGTAGGAGCGTTCATGTAAATAATGTCACCGTAATCAATGGAGGGAAGGAAAGTCACAGTTACAAGGTGTTTCCTAACATTCAGAGTTAGACAGGATCTGTTTCTGAAAAAGAAACCCAGTTTAACTTTCAGTTTCTTTACCAAGTTTTCCACATGGAGCTTAAAAGAGAGATGTGAATCGACCAAGATACTCAAATATTTATAGGAATCAACAAAGTCAATGGGGACACCATTTGAGGATAAAATCGGAGGAAGAACTGCTGGGACCAACTTCCTGTTTGAAAACAACATCCCTTTGGTTTTGTCGGCGTTTAGGACAAGTTTGAGGTGAAACAAATCAGTCTGGATGATTTCAAAAACTGGAAAACCTTATCAACAGTTTTAGCTCGACAATAAACAATTGTATCATCAGCATAGAAATGTATGGCTGCATCAGGGATGCTCTGACCTACATTACCTATGTATTATGTATCTATTACTCAACAAGCGCCAGTGTTTTATAGAAAAAATTATAGATCATTGTTAATTATAATCATTATTAGCATTATTATTAGTAGTATTATTATGATAACAGTAATTTTTATTTAGCTTTCTAACTAGCAAGCTAAATTGTGGATTTACCCTGTAGTTGCAGAACTGTTTAAAACTCATACTTTAGTCAAAAAACAAGTCTTCTTCTTTTGGCTTTTCTCTCTTCAGTCCTCTCTCTGTCATATTTCTTCTTGTCTAACCTCTTTCTTTGAACATCTTCCTGCACTTCACTATTCCACCACCAGGTTTCCTTATCATCCATTCTCTGTCCAGATGACACAGCAAGTACCTTCCTACCTGTCTCTCTAATTACTGTTGCTGTAGTAGTCCAGTCATCTGGAAGCTCTTTCTTACCACCCAGAGCCTTTAACAGCTCCTCTCTGAACTTCTCACATCATTCTTCCTTCTTCATCTTCCACCATTTGGTCTTCTTCACAACAACAGTCATTCTACACACAACTATCCAATGCTGTCTGTCCACGCTCTCCCCTGCCACAACCTTACAGTCTCCAGTCTCCCTCAGGTTTCCTCTTCTACACAGAATGTAGTCGACCTGCATACTCCTTCCTCCACTCTGATAGGTCACTCTATGCTCCTCCCTCTTTTGGAAATAGGTGTTGACTACAGCCATTTACATTCTCTTGGTGAAATCCACCACCATCTGTCCTTCCTGGTTTCTTTCCTCGACACCAAACCTACCCATCACTTCCTCATCCTCTGTTTCCTTCACCAACATGTCCATTCAGGTCTGCTCCCATCATCACTCTGTCAGTAAAATCTTACTTTAGTATGAGTACAAATAACTCTTGATGTCCATAAAAGTCACATTGTTTTTTTTTCTTTTTATATTCTTTTGTGTAGAAAAGTGAACAAAAGAAGTACGTTTTTTAATTTTTAATTTTTTTCTGCTGGGCAAAGTGCAACATGAAAAATTTTAAATTACAACACTATCATTTGCACTCTCACACCTTCTTTTTACACCATTTGTATTTTCTCCAAAAAGGGGCAGGGCCATTTGAAGAAGCAGGAGTGAAGTGATATTGCTGCACTGTGACTGGAGATTGTTTGGGCTGTAAATTAAAAACGTGAGACGGTCTCCTCTGTTTGAAGCTTCTAGTTGCATGAAGATGGTCTTCTTGACACCTCTCTCATACTCTCTACAAAATATACCATACCACTTTATTTATAAAGCACTTTACAGGTCTCTCTTGAAAATGAGTTCTCGTGGCTCAATGAGACTAACCTGGATAAATAAAGGCTAAATGAAAAAAAAAAAAA